ATGCATACCAAATAGAATTTTTTTGGTAACATTATTTAAAATAGGCAGAAGATTAGCGTTGTTTACACATGTGAGATTCTTCAATGTCAATTATGTAAACCTTGTCATTTCAGCAGAAATATAATGATGAATTTATATAACATTTATCTTCAGAATGTCTAAATGGCTTCACATGTGTGCCATTCTGCCACTGTATTAGTCCATCCTCAAGCTGCTAATAAGGACATATCCAGGACCTGGGTAATTTATAAAGGAAAGAGGTTTAATTGACTCACAGTTCAGCATGGCTGTGGGGCCTCAGGAAACTTACAATCATGAAAGAAGGGAAAGCAAATATGTCCCTCTAGCGTTCATGGCAGCAGGAAGGAGAAGTGCAGAGCATAGGGGAGAAACGCCCTTTATACAAACCATCAGATCTCATGAGAACTCACTCACTATCATGAAAGCAACATGGGAAAACCACCTTCATGATCTAATCACCTCCCACGAGCCCCTCCCCCCTACCCCGCCAACACATGGGAATTATAATTCTGATTACAATTCAAGACAAGATTTTGGGTGGGGACACAAAGCCAGACCATATCAACCAACTTTTTTTGAAAAATGAAGCGAGGTGTATTTCTTGTATGTTTTCAATATTGGAATATATTTAACAAGGTACTTCTCCAAGTATAAGAACCAACTATATGCCAGTCACTAATATGGAATAAGTTATGAGATCAGAAACATTCAAATCATTAAAGACCTCACCTAGCAGTAGAAATTCAGAGCATTTGGGGGAATGTTTAGATAACAACACATATAGAATAATAAAAAATGCAAGCAGTGTGATTTAGAGAAAAGAGCACTGAAGTTGAGACTTTGACATCCGCATTCAAACTCAGAGCTTCTACTCACTAACTGAATGATCTTAACTTCTCTCCTACTCAGTAATCTCATCTGTGACATAATACATAATAACATATAATGCATAATACAGTTTCCATGCCTTGCACGTGGCCCTGAGAATTCCATGAGAACATGCATGAAAGCATCACAAGAGTACTTTACCCACAGAGGGTGTTCAATGAATAGAAACTTCCTTTCCCTTTGTATAGGGATCACAGCAGAAGAAATGGTTAATACTATCCAGTACTCATTTTTTAACACTTTTAATTGCTCCCTCACTCAAGCTACCCATTTCTTTATCATAAAAGGATAATATGGCCATATTTATTCCAGAAGCATCTTCATGCACCATAAAGTGATTCTGTATTTCTAAAATTTAGGTGTTCATTACCAAAAAGAAACATCTCAGTAAAAAGATGAGAGAATGTAGATACAATCTGTTCAAAATAAATGTTGCGGGCTTTCTGAGGACCATTGGAATTTTTTGAAAGTTCATTTTAAGTCCAATCGGGAGAATAGCCCTTAAAATGTACTGATAAAAATTTCGAGTATTTTGCTTTTGCAAAAGAGTATGATTTTTATTATTCAGAAAATACCGTTCTTTTAGCTAAGATATGTGCATAATTCAATAGGAATCCATTCCAATTGTTTCATATTTTGGAGAAGTACATTTTTAACAATTCATATTGTTTTGGCACAGAAATAAATTACAGTGCTGAAAGGCCCAGAATAAATATAACGACAGCATACCCCATGCTGAATACTCCTCCATCTTTCCAACAGTTTGCTAAAGGGGAAAAACACCTAAGAAGTACTTCTGTAGTTCTTTCAAACAATGTACTCCTACTCATCAGGCAGGATGGCTTTGGGAAAAAGACTGCTCATAATGAAAAAAAAAAAAAAAGTGGCAGTGATTCACAGATTTTAAACTGATAATCTTCAAGAGCTTGGCTTTCAGATATCTGTGAATCCTCTGTCTATACTTGATCATTTTCTAGAGTCATTGACCTTACTGGACATACTAGTGCGGAAAAGATGGAATGTTTAGAAACGAAGCATGTTGAAAGCTGTTCCCAGCTCAGCTCCCAATACATTTCCAGTCATCTCTCAACTGCAGCTTTTTTTCTGATTCGTTTGTGGGTGGCTTTAATATCTTTAGGAGCTTCTCTTGTTCGGCACAGTTCTTTACAATATCGTTCCAATGCTATTTATTATTTTGGCACTAGCTTCTATATACGCAAGTACTTTCATTTTTACAGCACAAAATTTGTTTTTCCATATATTTTTTAAATTAAAAAGTTTTTGAAAAGTTGTTTTTGTTCTATATTTTTTGAGTTTCAACAGAAGCATTGATCAGTATTCCTTTTCTGCTGTAAAACCGTAATAAGTTAAACAACTTTGTGCAAAGAAAATTTTGATTCATGGAATTTTTTTTTTTTTAGCAAATCAGCTATCATTGTCAACATAATCATTGTTACACGTCTGTCTTAAACAGCTTTTTCTGATAAGCACTTAATGTTCTACTTCAAGTCTTACAACAATGAAACGAAGATATAATTAAACACTCTTTCAGATGACAGCAATGAGACTCAAAAATGATAAATAAGTTGTCTGAAGTCATATAACTATTAAATGATAAAGTTGGGACAGGAACCCAAGTTCACCTACTCCAAAGTCCATGCATTCACCATCTATCCCACTGAATTTTGAAACTAAAAAAATTATTTACAGCTAAGTATCACCTGATGTTTTTCAAATGCATAATAAAGTGACTTATCTTCCCTGCAGTGTGCTTTATATTTGATATAAAAATAAGACTCCCAGGCTAGTTCCTCTCTACTTTAGTATATATAATTAGTTTAGCATTTCTCAATATATCTATGGAAAAGTATACTGTTGCTATTTTGGCCAAGAAAATTTAGTGTGGAGGTTATGGAGCTGCCTTGTGAATTGTGAGGTTTAAAACAGCAATCCTAGTCTCTACGTAATAGAGATACCATCTCCCAATTTGTGACGACCAAAAATATGTCCAGGCACTGGCAAATATCTTAAGTTGAGAACCACTGACTTGAGTTAAAGGAAATTGATGAAATCATATGCTAATGGCTAAGAAAGACTCCAATGAAAACATCTGGAATCCTTCCACAGGATCATAGAAAATCAAACATCTATTATTTCAAAAAAAGTAAGAACAGGAGACAATGTAGCCATCCTGATATAAATAGATACTTCAAATGGATAAATTCTGAATAAACTTAAGCTGCACAAATTATTCCAATAATTTTTAATATACTTTATACAATTAAATATAGACAAGCAGGTCTTGAGATTTCATGACTGATAGACACCTTAAATTGTACAACCTCCTCATTTCTTATGTGAGAAAACTAAGATAAAGTGACTTGATCAAGGTTGATATACTTTTTAAATGTAGCAGAACTATGTCTACAAGCAAATTATTTTAGTCTTAGTTCATTATTTCTTCCGTATGTATTAAGTTTAGGATTCCATAAAAGCTCTGTAAGGGCCTATTTGGTAATGGAATTGGACATTCATACTTTTCTTCTTAAGATAATGTTCTTTGTCATCAATGCCTGTGAGCTGAAAGATGTATTCAGAAACCATGAATAAAGGGAGAGATGGTTTGTTTATATTTCAGTGGAAAGGGAAGAGAATTATAAGCTATATACGAAGAGTCAAAGGACTAAAGAATTTACTATGTACAAACCGTTGCGTGAGTCTTGTCATCTGAGTTCTAACAGAAGAGACCAATGCCTTCAGCAATCAGCCTACAGCAATTTAATTAATAAAGACCTGCTGTGGTCTGATTCGCCAAGATTCCAAATGCTATTGCATACACCCTGCTTCCTGCTCTGATTTGCCTGTTACCATGCTCACAGTATAAACAGATGGCTATTTATATTAATGATATGGGTAAACTTCTAATCAATGAAACAGTATTCTAATGACCTTCGCTAAGTGGCCCGAAATGCCAGATTATGCTATATACTAATGATTCTATATTTTTTATAGTTATAAATTGTAATTTTATTAAGAGATAGCTTAAGATAAGGAATAGTATACATTTCTCTAAATACAACATAAACTTATGTCTGATGAAACAGCTTTAGCAAGACACAGGCCAAATATCTAACCAAAGAAGAAATTCTTTTTTCAAATGGTGGAAGGTAAACTCTGTATCCTAAGGGGAATTATTCCTGCGCTGTAATCTTGCTTACTGCTATGTGGTGTAATAATAACTAGGTAACTTTACCACAGTTTGGGAGGCTTCTTCACTCAATGCTGAGAACTTGGACTTTGATGTCAGATAGATACAGAGTCAAATCCAAATGCTCCAACCTATGAGTCATGGAATGTTAGGAAAGGTATTTATCTTCTTTGACTTCAACTTATCCATCTAAAAAATGTGGATAATATCAGTCACCTTTTATTGAGACGCATTGCAGTAAGCCATTAATAAACTTGAAGCATTATAATTATCAGTCATCAAATGAATTTATTTTCTTAGAATCCTAAAGAAACTATACAAAAACTTTCAGCTCACTCAGTACTCTACTTTGAATTCCTTTGATCCTATTGGCTACATATTTCTTTCATTAGTTCATTTCCCTCCATCTCTGCTGCTAACACACTGAATGAAAGGCATGAACATTCTTAAGCAGATTATTGGCACACACCCTTCACTGGACACTACTCATTCACGTTTGCTTTTCAATCTTTTCAAATAATATTTTATGAGTGTTCTCACACTCTCTTTGTTTATAGACGGGGAAACTCAGACCCAGGGAAGTTCATTAACTTGAGGCCACATGAAGAGTTAGTGTTTGAGCCTGAAATTGAGCCAAACTTCTTTCCAGCACACAATAGTGCATCCAAGTATAATGTGAAGAGGATGGGTGGGGAACACTTAGATAAAATACGGACCAGTGTTTTCTCACCAGTCAAAGGGACTTGACAGAGCAGAACGTGATATATTTTGGTGCTCATATTGTTCCTTTTATACTAGTAGTAGAATTTGAATATTTTAAGTGTTTAGACAAGAAGTAATACATTAAAGCAGTTTTTGTCCCTTGTAATTGTTTAGTTTTTACCTTCAGCTTGTAAAGCAGAATTCGTATTTAAAGTATTATATTCAAAAGATCACTTGGTATGGCATTCTCCTCTTAATTGACTAAATGCTTTTGATCTTCAGCCATCCAAGCAATTTAATAGTTTCAATAACTTTCTAGAGGTGAAAATAATGCATATACATTCAGGAACCTATACCATAGTATTTGAAGGTTGGGGAACCTGAATTTTGGTGCATGAACCCATAAAATGTAATGAACTGACTTCTGAGCATGTTTTTTATTTGGAAAAAAAATAAAGAGATGATTGGCCCGGTGTGATATTCTGTCTTTCTTTGATAACCACTTTCCCCCAACCAATAGCTGTGATAACTGAAACAAGTGTTCCTTGGATGTCAATTGACTTTAATGAGTGATTCATTGCACAATGGAAACTACTTTGCATTCCCTCTAGATGCTTTCACTGTGTGGAAAAGATAAAGCTCTATTTAGCTTGGGGCTGACATAGTGGAACATAATTCACCTGCCTCCGCTATCTCTACAGAATAGCAAGAATAACCACTCCTTTTACTAGAATATGTGCCACATTTTCTCTCACTATGTCCTCAGAACAGGAGACCTATACAAACCAACAAAATATAGAAGAAAGAAGCTTGCATATCTGCCAGTTAAGGACAAGTACTTACATTCAAAGCAAAATACCTATGACTTTCAGAAGCCACATTTAGCCTGCAAGATGGATATTAAAGTAGTGGACTATTGCGATAAGGAATTTTGACAAAACATAGAACCAAAAACATATACCTCCTAGCTAAAACCAAACACAAGCATGCAAATGACGAAAGTAGTGAAGAAACCGCCACCCCTTCCAAACACACATACACACACACAAGCACGCACGCGCACACACACACACACACCAAGAGAATCGTAAATAAGCAACCATAAGGTACACATCAAGATTTGAAGATGGCGGTGCTCTACATTTGTAAATAAGGGAACAAGGCATCACAAGGGCTTTTTTTACATACATATATATAATAAACCCAATATGTTAGCCGGCAAAGAAAACTCTGTGGCCCAAGGCTATTTTTTAAACTGCTGCTCTGGAAGTTTCTAAGCGCTAAATGATTCTGGTCGTACTTACTTGCCTCTTAAATGACTCCCACGTGGTTAATATTTCTGAAATATCCTTGTACACCCTAGGTAAATGGTTATGTCATGCAGCGATTGTCATTTCAGCTGTCACAAAGAGTTGGACACTTCAGTAAAAAGAGGAGACAGCAAATAAAAAGGTCTTAGGCATCACCACTTTGTTCATTTGAAAACATACAGAAGAAATGTACTTTCTTTCATATGATTTATTTTTAATAGCTTACATATCACTATTGAGTATAATATGAGAATGAGAATGCATACATCTAAATTTGACACCTTCCTAAACTCTAAAATTCTTCTACATTTAGGTTTTATTTTCACGGAATATTTTACTATTACTTGCACTGGTTATTGCTTTCAATAATGCTAATGGTAAGACAAGATTCTTTGGTAAAAAATGAGAAAGTAGTTGCAATATAAGTTAAGAGAATCATCTGCTTAATGAGATAATGCAAGGCTTCATGTTTATGGAGTTACACTTCTCTGTTGAAGAGAAGACCAAAATAATTTTGTGCTTATCTTTGCAGAAGCATCAAATAAGGTTAACTATACTCTTCAAATAATTTTCTTATTTTGTGGGATAGTTTTACAAACATTTTGAGGATGAACCTCCATTCCATGCATGTATATAAACCATACAAATGAAATGCTGTATGAATAGATTATAAATTACATTATAGAACATGCAAAGGTATTTAGGCCCAGTGGATCACTTGGGGATCATTTCTGAGAGCAGTGCTATAGCACTGGAATCAACACCATGCCTACATACCCTAGAAACAGGGCCCTGGGGAGAGACTAGCAAGGATAATACCAAGGAAGTCCTAGTTTATAGCACCATTAGCTTTGAATGAACCAAAGCAAAGTAGCAAGAAGGTTTTGATGCCTCATCTTCACACTGAAACATGTTTTCCAATCCTGTAAGACCCTGCGCAACTAAGAATGGACTCATCAGAAGTCATCTGAAGGAGCACGATAATTCTATGCTGTTTCCAAATTACAGGTAGAGTAGTCATAAAGCTTCAGTATAAAGATGATAAGTAGCACTACCTGAGAATGGAACAAATTCAGATTATTGCTGTTGTATGTCACAGCCTGGATTCCACTCTGAAGCACAATTGCTTTTCTTAATTCTCATCAAAACTCGTCTATCCCAAGCTATTTCTCTCTCCTGTAAAGCAAGTAATGGAATTACACCCAACAGAGAATCATCAAAGGAGTACTTTAGGTTATGACAGCTTCCTGATCACATACCTGGTAGCAACAGACCTATGGAAAATGAGAAGTAGTTAGGACATCTATCTGCAAAGGCCCAATATCTCTTTGATTGCTCATAGTTCTATTATGTGGTACCTTGGACTTAGAGTATAAATATGTATAGCCACAGCATCTACTATTAATGTAGATTGTCACCATGCCTGTTAAATTTCTCTAACTACCATATAAAAGTTACACCATTTTTAGTTATTTAATTACCAATGTTTTATTGATAGGGTTCCTAAAACCTATTTTTTCCCAAGTCCCTTTACTGGATACTGCTGAATGCCACCAGGCACTTACAAACTTAAGTTGATCACTGTCCCACTACAATCAGGCATAAACCTGTCACATTAATCAGATTTTATATGGAAAAAAGGGAAGTCATAAGAAAATTTGGGAAATATTAATACATTGTTGACAAGGATCATCACCAATGCTTTTCAAAATTAATATCCAGTATTCAGGGCTCACTCAGCAAGCCTTGGTGTTTGGCTTCCTTCCTTCCTACCTTCCTTCCCTTCTTTCTTTCTTTCATTCTGCTACTGAGAATAAAGTAACTGGATCTGGGGCTTTGGAGTGAGTGGGATGATTCTTATTTTTTATAGCTGAAGACAAAATATATGCACCATATTTTAAAATATCCTAAAACAAGAATGTGAATCAAATTTCCAGCTAATGATTTTAAGGAGAAAGCATTTCCACTTTAAAAGAATAACTTCAAAGCAAAAACCTTGGGTTAGCTTTTCCCCCACTGCCCATTACCCCTTAAAATGACTGCAAAGGACTTTTGAAATAGGAAAAATATCTCACAATAACAAAAGAAGGGGGGCAAACAAAATAACACTATTTTAGAAGCTAGGCTGCAGAAAGACAAGAAGCAAATCCTTAGCTAAGAAAGTTGATTCCTAGGTTAGCAGTAAAGAAGGTCAAAAACCAATTCAGTTTGCACTATAGAACTCCAAATGCCCCAGGAATTGGCAGCACATGTAGTTGGAAAGATGGGGAAGGCAAATCTAAAGATAGAAGGTTTGAAATTCTATTTAAGAAACAGAAGATCTCTAGATTCTCTCAGTCTCAGAATTTAAGGCTTTTATTTTAGATACCACAGTGTGTGAAATTCAGGAGTCAAACACACCACGAGACGCCAAAGCTCTATGCCTAACAACACTCTTACTAGAGTTACATTAAAAACCTATATGTTTTTCTTGATAATAACGAAAGCTGTGTCTTCTTTTTTATTTCATGGTTTTCAAAGCATTTTTACATTCATTGTCTAATGTAATCGTCACAACAATTCTTTCTGGTAGGTAAGACGAAATGATTTCCACCTCTTTTACATGAGGAAGAAGCTGAGGTAAAATGACCAACTTGTCAGTTGTAAAACCCTGCAGAGTAGTATGCAAAGTCATCAAACCTCCACTTTCTTGCAGCTTAGATTGATTGCCTTTTGATTCGCTTCCCACAGGTCTACTTTTCTAAGAAGCGATTTACCCTCTTTTGTGTTTATAACAATCCTTTGAGAAGCTTTTAAAAAACCCAGTCCCCAAAATTCTGATTAAGACTGAACTGAGGACCTGGAATGTACATTTTAACAAATTATTCTGGTGTTTTTAATTCAAGTAGTGGTGGAGGTCATCTTCTGAAAACTACTTCATTAAGAATTCTAATTGTCACCAGAGAAGGTAACACATCTGGACCATGTTAGCTGGGTCTCACCACCAACAAATGAATAAAATAATCCAAAACTAAAAACCAACTTACATTTTCCACTAAGTAACATTTGCATAGTACACCTATGACTTTCATCAGGAGTAGGGTGGGATATGAGGGACATCGCTGTACTTTTTGCAAAAGTTCTGCAGAGAGTATTATTTCTGTATAAGTAGGAACTACCCAATGAATGGGTTTCAGAATTCAAGACAAGGAAAAGAATGTAGTTATGAGCACTAATTAACTTGGAATGCTTCTTTTAATCAGTGCTCCTTTTTGTCTTGTCTACCAGCAAGCTCAAAACAAAATTTAATATTACTAAGTTTTAGGCATATATGAAGCAGGAGAATAGCGTATTGAGGCAAGGAACCTAAGGACTTTCTAGAACCAAATCAAACGGAAATCCTTCAGCTTTGAAAGGAAATATCCTCTCCATTTACATAGGACGTACAACGAGTAAATGACTTTGTAACTTTCCTTCATCCTTTTCATTTACATAGGGTGCACACCAAGCAACCAACAGAAACCTCTTGAGGGTGTTTAAACCCAAAAAAATTCTTTAATGGGGTTCTTGAGCCCCTAAGCTTGGGCCCACTGCCACCCTGTGGAGTGTACTTTCATTTTCAATAAATCTCTGCTTTTGTTACTTCATTCTTGTTTCATTTGTGCATTTTGTCCAACTCTTTGTTCAAGATGCGAAGAACCTGGACACCGTCCACTGTTAACATATGTACCTTCCATTGAGAACCTCGTCCTCTCATAAAGTCATATACATGTTAGTGTCAGATTTTTTTTATTTTAATTTTCTTATTATATATGAATTTTTAAAAGCGATCTTAAAATCATTTGGGATGTAGGCAGGGTACAAAGTATAAATAAATACACCTGAGAAATAAGAAGTAAACAGACTCATGCAGAAATAATTTCACCGTGAAGAAAGAACAGAGGACTGGAGGTTTGCAGCGTAGGGTTTTTTTTCAAAACCTAATTCTTACAGGAACAGTTGGTAAGTACACCTGTCATATATGCTTCCAAAAATGTAGATCAAAATGATAACGTACTGAGAGAAAAACAAAACTCGGGAATACAAAATTCATTTGTTATAACTAGTTTTGCTTACGCTCTCTCAAAATAGCCATCTGTACTAAAATGTGTACATAACAGAATGACTTGCTGCAGTACAAAAAGGTTCATATGTAGTTAGGCTTTGGAACTTTCTAAAGGCTTGAAAAGTGCCTTTCAGAAGTGCCTTTCATACTTTCTACAGATATGCTACATATAAGTGAATAAGAGTTAAAGAAACAGCAGCTGCTTAAATACATCCTGTTACAGTGTTGCCTGTCCTATTTTTTCCTTTCTACCTTCCCCCTAAAACATTGATTTAGCTTTCCCCCTTCCAAGGTCCTCCCTGCATTTTAATTTTATTTAACAAACCCCTGTATGGTACAAACTACATGCTATCACTTTCCTTTGTGCTTTACGAGTATTACTTGACTGAATACCCATAACAAACTATAATGTAAGCAAAAATTTCACAAGGTCACATGGCTACCATGGAAGAGCTGAGATCTGAAGGAATCTGGCTTCAGTATCTGTGACCAAACTGTATTCGCTACTGTCTCCATGCTTACATATACGGCTGTAAGAGGCAATGCCGAGCAGAGAAAAACGCAGAGTCCATCCATTAATTATTTACCTCCTGTGCAAACCGGACGTTTGTCTAACTACAGGGCCAATTCAAACAAAATGCCTGAAGAATCTTCTCGTAGTTCTTAAACATCTAGCTATAGATGCTAATTTTATTTTAGAAAAAAAAGGAAAATGCTTCAAGAGGTATACATAATTCTTCAATCCTGCCATATTCTTTGACTTAACAATAGCTTGTGGATGATAGGAGAGTCACTACATTAAACATAGGTATCAATCATAAGAAGCATCCAAGTTGAGAAATATTAAAGTGTTAAAAAGATGAAACTTAGAACCAAGAAAATAATGTAATAATGTAATCCCTACTTTTGGTAGGTTTCTCCTTCAATTTAGTTATAATAGTCCTGATGCATACATAGATTGTTAACTGCCCTGAATACTTATTTGAAGTATATAGGATGAGAGTAACAATTTATTTTAATTGTTAGAAACTATTCACTTTACTAAACAAGTATAATACTGTACTGTTCAGGATTAATGTTTTATAAGATGTTACTAGTATTCTTAAGGTGTTTAAGGTAAAATGTTTATTTAAATATACTGTATTACAATCCTCTCAACATTATTTTTAATAGAATAGGGAAGAAAAATGAAGATACAAAGAGTTTATGATGGCAACTTAATGCAAGGCAGAAAGTTTAAAAAATTATCTATCTAGTTTTAATTCTCCTTAAGATAATTTTTCTGGATTAAAACAACAGTAATCTTTAATAATTATTCAGTTTTTGTCAAATAAATCTCAAATTTGAGTAGGGCTTATTGAGGATGACTCATCTCTGTTTTGCAGCATCAGCTCAGTGATTCTACTAGGGCTAGAGGATTCACCTCTAAGAAGACTCACTCATGTGGCTATCTGGTTGGTAGTGTCTGTTGATTCAGCCAAGGTTGCTGACAAGTATATTTGGCTCCTGTTCATGTGGCTTGTACAGGGGGCTGCTTGGACTTCCTCATAGAATGGTATCTGGGTCCTAAGAGTTTCCTAAAAAGGAACTTCCTCAGTTCCTAAAACTGAGATTCCTAGACATAGAAAGTGTCTGTGAGGGCTTTTTCTGCCTAAGCATGTAAGTCTCAAAATGTCACTTTTATACTCCAATAGACAAGCAAGTCACAGTGGCCAGCTCAGACTCCAGGGAGGGGAAATCAGATTCTATGTCTCAATACATAAGTAGCAAATAATTTATAGCTATCTTTTAATCAACTATATCAATATATAAATTGAGCATAATGATTATACAAATGCTAAGTTTTCATTTTCTTAAGCTAAAAAGTTGGTGCTAACATTTATGTCAATAAATGTAATTCATTGTATAAACAAAGTGAAGGACAGAAAGCATATAATCATCTCAATAAATTCAGAAAAAAGCATTTAATACAATTCAGCATTCCTTCACGATGAAGACCCTCAACAAACTAGGCATAAAAGGAATACATCTAAAAATAATAAAGGCCATATATGCAAACCCATAGCCAATGTCATACTGAACAAAAATAGTGGAAAGCTATCCCTTCTAAAATTAGAACGAGACAAGGATTTACACTTGCAACATTGCTATGAAACATAGTATTGGAAGTCCTAGCCAGAGAAAT